TGGTCTATAATTACGAATGTCCTCCTGGTCCCCCTTCTTATACAGTAGGGTCACGACGCTGCTACTAAAAAATTCTCTCGTCCCCCCTTTTTCCCAACTGTCCTTATAAAATTAAAGAAGGTCATTGCCCATTATGGGCAGAATGTTTCCCAGAATTGCTTGGTAAGACCATCGATCCCTGGGGATTTGTCGTTTTTCATGCTGTGGACAACGAATGTCAATTCCTCTAGGGTAATTCGTTTGTCTAGTCCTGCCGCCTGTTCCACTGAGATTGTCTTGTCTAGGTACCATAACATTTTGGTTCTCACCTCTCTCGCGGCTGTAGAGGCGGACGAGGCAATTTTCATCTAGTACAGTTCTTGATAAAAACCTCTAGCTATTTCCAACATCCCTTCACTATCTGTCCTTATGGCTTGTTCGCCTGACAATGCCTTTAGCCCTTCAATTGAGCTCGCTCTGCTGTTGGCTTTTATTCCCGAGAAAAAATGTTTAGTCGTTGATTCGTTTAACTCGTACTCCGTCATTATTGCTCTGAGTTGTAGGCCTTTCAATTCCCATTGTCTCCATATCGCCAGTTCATCCCTTGCTCGTTCGAAAGTCGTTGAATATAGGATTGAGGAAGGGTTGATTATCAAGTTGCTCTCTGCAATCTTTCGTGCTATCTCCAGAGCCTGTTTTCTCTGTCTTCGGTCATTGGCCAGTTTTCAGGATAACCGAGCTACTGTTTGAGACAATGAGAGGTAGCTCTTTTGGAACCATTCCATCTATCCTGTCCTCCTAAGAATGTGTTTCTCGAGTTTTGCCAACATTCGTATACACTCTCCTGGAAGACCTGACTGAGAAGGAGGGAGTTGTTCAACTTGTGGAAGCTGGCTCCTCTCATAATGTATTGCTCATAGCTGAGAATTATCTCAACCAGTTTGTGATCTAATCCAGAGTATGCGGCCAGGGCCAGAATGTCAGCCTCCTTGATGGTTCCCATTAGAGATTCTGAGACAAGGAAGTAGTCAATGCAGGAGAAAAAGCCATGTGGTGAGCGTGTTTTTTCTTTACCAGCGAGAATGCTTTCATTTCACGGTGTAGCGTACGGAAAGGGTCTGCCATGTTGTGATCCGTAATCAACTTAAGGACTGGAGCCGCTTCTTGTGAAACTTGAGCCGTGGTTGCTCGAGAGATTTTGTCGTAAGTCGGGTCCAGAGCTGCGTTCCAGTCTCCTGCATCATCATAGCAGGGTGAGAAAGGTGTTACCAGACTTCCCAACCGTGGACATATATCCCGATCTATCTGATGGGTTATTGGGTGCATACAAGTTGATGATTCTAACTTCCTCTTCTTTCCACTTAAGATCCATCATGCACCATCTCCCTGTTTCATTGTCAACGTCCAATCCTTGAATTGTGCCTGCTGTGAAGAAGCGGGAGGATGCTTGAGTTGTTGTCTGAGGCCCAAATTTCGTCTTTAATTCCTCCTAGTTTTCTTGTGAAGAATTTCCTGATTTTTTTATGATGCTCTGAACTACTTAGGTGTGTTTCTTGCAAGAGGATTATGTCTGCTGGTTTCCCTGTGTAGTCCCTCAAGCCTCTAATTATGTCATTTAGTTTGTCTTCCTTTGAGATTATGTTTCCCAAGCCATTAACATTCCAGCTCCGGATAATGATGCCTTGATTTTTCCAGTTCACCTTTGCGCCCTTCTCGTTGGCTTCTCTTCTCAGCACGTCCATGAGCTAGACTGTCAGACGAGTCTAGAAGGAGGCATGAAGCTAAGTCTAAGAGGCGCCTGACACTCCAGTCTCCATAGAATCAGCGGACTCTCCCGGCGGGTCTAACCGAGTCTTTGTTAGGGATACATCCATCCTATACTCCGCTATGCTGCTACTCCCCTCCTTTGCCAGGGGTGTCTTAGAATCTCCCTCATCCTTTTCGGTTGTCCAATCCTCCTCATCCTCCTCCATTTCTTCTTTAGAGCATTCATCACGGTAGTATCTCTCCATATTTATTGGGTATGCCCTGGAGTCCAAGTCAATGTCACCCTCGAAAATTCCCTTGCTAACCAACCCTGCCAGGGAGGCGGTCTGCAGCTCAGTGGGGATGCCTATCCCTATCAGCACGCTGCAGGGAATAGCCGTCACCGTGTTCCATGGCCGCCACCTCATTCCTTCTTTTAGCTCAGTGCCCTCAGGTATCTTAGCGATGCCCTGGAGTCCAAGTCACCGTCACCCTCAAAAATTCCCTTGCTAACCAACCCTGCCAGGGAGGCGGTCTGCAGCTCAGCGGGGATGCCTATCCCTGTCAGCACGCTGTAGGGGATAGCCATCACCGTGTTCCATGGCCGCCACCTCATTCCTTCCTTTAGCTTAGTGCCCTCAGGCATCTTAGCGATGAGGGGGGTGAAGGATCTGAGAGTTCCGAGCTCCGGTTGGTTGATCTGATCCATCGGGGTGTCTTTGGGGTCTGTCTGGTCTTCTGTAACTTTCTGCTCCCCCTGTAGAGCCTCTTGCAGTCTATCATCCTGCTGGATCGTCAAGGAGTCTGTCTCAAACACTTCCAGAGGGTAGGATGTTGTGATCTTCTCCTGCAGGATGGTAGCCACATTCTGGCCTTCATCAATCCTAGGGATTGCCAAGGACACGTCTGTGGCCACTTGCCATTCTTTCTTTTCCTCCATGTAGCGTGCAGCCAAAAGTGGTCTAGTCCCCATAAGAGTCAACCTTGCAGACATCGCTTGGCCCAAAACCTCGGGGGCCTTGCCATCTGCTATGTGTCTGAGTGAGAAAAATTCTGACTCGTAGGCTGAGTTCAACTTCTTCAGCTTCTCAGCCTGTGCTTCCACCACTGCGATTTCCTGCTCAATCTCAGATCTGGCTGATTTTTCTGTGGGTTCCGTTGCTGACTGGTCAATGCTGCTTGCTTTTTTTGTTTGGTTTGTGGAGGTCCTCCATTTCTTTGGTCTCAGGTCCTGTAGTGCTTCTTTGGAGTCAACCTTTGTTATATCTTTGTCTTTGACTTCTCTTGCCCTTTTCTTTTCTGCGTATCTGACTGCTGTCGTTGAGGGGGACAGCTCTGATTTTTGTTGGGTTCCCAGTCTCCTTCCCTGTGGCCTTCTTCTCCCAAGTTGTGATTTCTTCTCGGAATTATACACCAAATCTGAAGAAGAATTAGCAGAACCCCCATTACCCCCCACAAGCACCCCCCCATCTCCTTACATCACCCCCTAACTAACCCAACAAAGCCTGTTAGGATTGCAATCAACAGATTAAAGGGGGGAACCCCCCGAGGGTTTAGGGTTATAGCAGAAAGCAGCATTGGACAGACTGAATATGATGTTACTAGACAAGTTCTACAAGAGGGAAAAGGTAGCAATAGATGAGGCAGAAACTTATGACAGGACTAGACAGTCTGCAAAGAGCCAGTATCAATAGCCTAACTT